CATAGTCCACTGGAGACAGATGGAAGGCCCTTCCCTAGAGCAGACTTTCATGAATTGAGAAAAAGTGGGATAGAAAATCTGCCTAGAGTTCAGATTCCTATGTGTAAAATTTGTTTAGGGGGGGGTCCGGTTGTGGGGCCTGAACTCTGGGCCTGGGCGCTGTCCCTCAGCTCTTCAGCTCAAGGCTAGCACTCTACCACTTGAGCCACAGCGCCACTTCCGGCTTTTTTTTCTTTTTGCTTATGTGGTGCTGGGGAATCGAACCCAGGGCCTCATGCATGCAAGGCAAGCGCTCTACCACTGAACCACCTTCCCAGCTCCTATGTGTAGAATTCTTTAGAGCACTAGTTATCCAAGCGTATTTATTTTACACCAGCAATACCAGTTGTCAACAGGAGATTTGTCAGAAATATTAGTTATTGGTCTTCACCCTCGACCAGCTGAGTCAGAAAGTAAATGTGGTCTAGGTTGGTGGGTCACTTCTGAATCTCAGCACTTGGGAAGCTGAGGCAGGAGGATCATGAGTTTGAGGCAATGCTAGGCTACAGCAAATTTGAAGTCAACTTGTGCCACATGATGAGACCCTATCTCAAAAGGCAAAGTAGCCAAGTACCAGTGGCTCATACGTATAACCCTAGCTACTCAGGAGGCTGAAATCTAAGGATCATGGTTCAAAACCAGCCCAGTCAGGAAAGTTCTTGTGAGACTCTTATCTGCAATTAACCACTCAAAAACCAGAAGTGGAGCTGTGGCTCAAAGTGGTAGAGTACTAGCCTTGAGTAAAAGAGGTCACGAACAGCACCAAGGCTTGAGTTCAAGCCTCACAACTGACAAAAAAGACAAGGCAAAAACAACAACAACAAACAAACCACCTCTGGCTTGGGACTGGAGGCTCATGTCTATAATCCTAACTGCTCAGGAGGCTGAGATCTGAGATAAAGGTTCAAAGCCAGCCCAAGCAAAAAAATTATGAGACTCTTATCTCCAATTAACCAGCAAAAAAGAGTGGTGAAAAAGCTTCAAGTAGAGAGGGAGGCCCTGAGGTTCAAGTCCAGCACTAATACAAAAAAGAAAAATTCTGGATGTTGGAAAGAGCAATCTTGTTTTAACAAGCTTTGTGAGATATTTTGACTCACACTAAAATTTGAGAATTACCACCTCCGTTGTTCTTACCCCCTAATCTCAATTAACCCTTACCATAGCACCCAATGAATCATCAGATTTATTGAATATGACACATCAAGCTCTATGCTGAGCAGTATTTACATACCATCTCATTTTAGTCTCTCCATGTATTTGAGGGAGAGGTGACCGTGGTCCCTGGTCCCTGGAGTGGGTCATAGTATTCCACCCCATCGTTAAGCCTTGCAGATCTGTTCTGGAAAGAGGACATCACCCAGGATCTAATGACACAAATATCAGTAGATTCTACCCCCCGAGATACATGCCTGAAGAATGGAAAGGCAGTTTTTCCCCCAATAAAACAACTATGATGAAGTATATGAGGCCTAGGGTTTATAGACAGAACAGGGAAAGTCAGTACACAAAAACTCACTAGTAGGAGCCAACAGGAGCTCTGGGCTCAAGAAACCCTTTCTAGGATCAGCAAGGAGCAATTCCATGATGTATTATTATCCCTGGAAAGGAAGAAGTGGATGTTAGCAAGGTTCGGTCTCCTTAGGGGCAAGCAAGAGGAGAAACTTTGACTTATTCCCCAAGGCAAGATGTATGCATCTTCTCAAGAATTGTGAATCCCTGAATCTGTTCATTACAACTTTCCCTCTGGGTCTTTCTTATCCTTTTCTGCTTCTTTCTGACTCCTGGCTTTCCTCATCACAAAGCCTAACAGTCAAGGTGAACAGGGATGAGTGCTCTCCAGAGTGGTCCAAAAAGCTTGAGAGAAGAGGTCAAGGTGAGTGGCTCACTTTTTCTAGGAATGCCCTAAGACTTGTTTAAAGGAGGGAGGCAGGTATGAAAGAGGAAAGAGATGTTGGAGCAAAGACAAATAAGCTGAAGAAAAGATCTTCCCTTTCTCAATCCAAGGGTATCTGTGTTTCCTGTAACTCTCACATGTTCTCTGTAGGCATCCATGTGACAGTGGAGCGGCAGAGTATAATGTAACTGCTGGCAGCCTTTAAGGAAGATATGAAGTACAGAATTATGCATCAGCCTTTATTTTAATTAGGGACTGAGAATTTCAGAGTTCTCAAAGTTAGATAAAGGCTCCTCTCTTTTCACCACATATTCCCTTCCTTGTAGATAGCAATGGATAGTAAAGCTCTCTTGGATAAATGGGAGGCACACCCCAGAGCCCTCACACTCAGCCTCTGCCTGGTCTCTACTTTGACCCAAGCAAGCCAAAGACACAAGTCTCAGAGGCAACTCCTTGGACATTTTGAGCTCTAGAATCCAGATTGGAATCCACTGGGATTCCAATCCCAGGATGGTTGTGAGATTTACACAAAACTGGACCCAGGTCTCCTGATTGCCAGCTCTTTCCCCCGCTTAGTTCCAGCCCTTTCTCTCAAGGACAGCATGAGTGTGGGGCTGGAAAAATATTTTTTAAGAACTAAGATCTAAATGATAAAAGGTGACATCTAGAGGAAGATATAAAAGAAGAGCACCACAGAGAGAGAACATTACAAGAAAGCCTTCTTGCCATGAGACGAAGAGTACTGTGGCAGGGGCTGGGAAGGTGGCTCAGTGGAGAGTGCTTGCCTTGCATGCATGAGGCCCTGGGTTCAATCCTTAGCACCACATAAACAGAAAAGGCCGGAAGTGGCGCTGTAGCTCAAGTGGTAGAACGCTAGCCTTGAGCTGAAGAGCGCAGGGAGAGCACCCAGGCCCAGAGTTCAAGCCCCACAACAGTCAAAAAGAAAAAGAGAAAAGAAAAGAAAAAAGAAAAGAAAAGGAAACCATGGCAGGTTAGAGGAACAGGCAGAAAAGTCAGTGATACAGAATCAGGGGGGGAAATATACAACAAAGGGGCCCATCAGCTGCACTGGACATTGATGAAAACAACTAAGCAACTCAAGGGCAGCGATGGAAGGGAAGGAATGAGAGGAAAAGAGGGAAAAGCTGACACTAAGCACAAGGAAAGAAATATACGTATCACCCGATGTGGAAGAAATAGTTGTATTGTCAAAGCTCATAGAATTCACAAACATTATAGACCATAATGACACTTTGCCTTGTGAAGATTAAAATGTATTTGTGACTTTAACTAAGTATCACTATCTCACAATACTGTGAAATATCTGAAATTTATGTAATCACTTAATCTCAATAAAAAAATTATTTTTTTAAAAAACTTAGTGACAGAGATAAAGCTGGAGAAGGCCAGGACTTACCATTCAGGGGCTTAACAGATCACAATAGAAGGTTTGGATTTCATTCTAAATACAGTGAGAAATTAGCTGAAATATTTTAAGAAAGGGAAAACCATAGCATAGCCTATGTGGGCCTAGAACTCTGGGATTGGGCATTGTCCCTTAGCACTTCAGCTCAGGACTGCTTGAGACACAGCACCACTTCTGGTTTTCTAGAGGTTTATTGGAGATAAGAATTTCATGGAGTTTCCTGCCTGGGCTGGTTTGAACCATGATCCTGATCTCAGCCTTCTGAGTAGCTAGGATTACAGGCGTGAGCCACTGGTGCCCGGCTTAGCCTACAATTTTAAAACATCACTGTAGTCAGATGCCAGTGGCATATGCCTGTAATCCTAGCTACTCAAGAGGCTGAGATGTGAACACTGAGGTTCGAGGCCAGACTGGTAGGAACCTCCATGTCTCTTATCTCCAATTATCCACCAAAAATCCATAAGTGGAGCTGTGGCTCAAGTGATAGAACATCATCTTTGAGTAAAAAAGCTCAGGGAAAGTGCCACACACACACACACACACATGTACAGGGGTACAGCTGGAGAGGAATAAGCTCTAATGTTCTATAGCATTGCCCAGTAATGGTGGCTAACAACAATGATTTGAAAGCTTCAAAATCGCTCATGTAGAGGGTTCTGAATGTTCCTAAAGAAAGGACAGATGTCTGCTTTTGCCTGATTAGCCTGATTAGATTATTACTGCTTGCAAACATGTGTATACACGTATTGAAGTATAAGATCGTGCCCTATAAATCTGCACAATTATTATTTATCAATTAGAAGTATTAAAGAATAAAACCCCAAAGACAATAAATAAGTACAGTGCAAAAAGTGGTGTGTGCCAATCCATGCGGTTTTAACGTGTAATTTTTTTATATTTTTTGTAAAGGTGATGAACAGAAGGGCTACAGTTACATAAGTACTTTTTTTTTGTCACACACTGTTACCCCCTTTCTCATTTTTCTCCCACTTTCCCTCCCTCTCCCCAGTTTTAAACATTTTAACCAGGTAATTCTCCCAACAACCTTGAGGTAGGTGCAGCCAGCCTCGGAAAGCCTCCGGTCCATAGTTAATTAAACTCCTAGCCGGTGGCACTGTTCAGAGCCGATTCCAGGCACGCACATCTAACCCTACTTGGTCTTCAGGATGACGCCAGAACCGCGATGAAGGCACGTAAAGAGTTTCTATTCTCTTCTCTTTTATGCTCCTCGTTTTAGGGTTCAGGCTCTCTTACTTACGTATCTTTCCCCATGGAATTGTAGCTCTTTTGACCGCTCTGGGGCGGGAGATGGAGGCGTGCAGGTCGGGGCGGGGGGAGGGGGGGGAGAGAACCAAGTGGGAATTCTGGCGAGCGTCTACTATTTGGCGGGGGAGGACAAGGTTGAGTAGGCACCCAACTAAGACGGGGCTCTGACGCCACCTGTGACGCAAATCGGCGTAAGAGCCGGGGGTGGAGATGTCGTCACCCCCCGCCTGCGGTTGGCCGAGGCGCCCGGAGAGGGGCGTATAGACCCCGCCTTATAGGGGGGTGGGGAGCGGCAGGCCCCGCCTCGCTCCCGCAGGCTCCCGCCGGCGTCGCCGCCACACTGGCGGGGCAGCGAGCGAGCGCTCGGCGCCGGGGAGGATGCGGCGCCCGCGGCGGCCTGGGGGTCCCGGAGGCCCAGGGGGTCTCCGGCTGCTCGTCTGCCTCCTGCTGCTCAGCGGCCGCCCGGGGGGCTGCAGCGCCATGAGTGCCCACGGTCAGGAGGAAAACTTGAGGGGTGGCGGGAGGGGACGGTGCGGGGCTGGTGGCAAGGGGTGGGGGTGGGGCGGGGAGAAGCATCTCGAAGGCGAGAAGGTCAGGCAGAAGGTGTTCGGGGTCGGGGTCCGGGAGGCACTGGAGGGAGGAAGAAGAGAGCGAGGCTGGGAGGAAAGGGGCGTAGGCCTGGAGGAGGGGCTGGGGCTGGGCGGGCGGGACCGAGGGGAAGGGGGCTGGGGGGGGGGGAGATAGCGGATCCGAAGGAGGAGTGGGGGTGCGCGCCAGCGGGGGGCTTTGGAGAGGTGCTCCAAGGCCGTGGGAGAGGCAAGGGGCGCGGGAGAGATGGCGAGCAGTGATGGAGGAGTGGAGGACGCGGGGGGGGGGGGGCGCAAGGAAGGGGGGGGAGAAGAGAGCCCGGAGATCTTGGGGTGCCAGGGGAGGGCTGGCTGGGGAGAGGTTGAGGCTTCTCTTTCAGGCTAGGGAGGCCGCTTGCCCGGCTTCGGTCTCCTGTGAGAGGGGGCGGAAGAGGATGAGGAGGGGGCGGGTCCTCCGCGTCCCCCTCCCCAGCGCCAGGCCTGGTGCTGACTCACGTCGGTGCGGACACGGAACCAGCGCTGACTCACGGGCCGGGGGTGGGGGGTGGGGACCGGGGTAGGGGCAGGGGCGCAGCCTCGCCATCTGGCGCCCTCTTTCCCCCACCCGGTCTTGGAGGCCAACGCAGGGTGCTTCCTGTGACGCTGCGGGTCCTGGGGAGACTCCTCGCCTGCCACCTGTCCCTCCCCTTAACTGCCTCCACGGCAGTCCTAGGCTCCGACAGGCCGACGCTTCAGCACCACGGACAGCGCCAGCGCCCAGGGCCTGGGGCCGCGTGGGGAGAGGGGCTGCCTCCGACACAAGCCCACCCACCTCTTCCCCCCCCCCCTCCCCCCGCCCAGTGGTGTGCCGCCTCTTCTGAGATCATTCTAGTTAGGGCGCTTTTGGAGAAGTACCTTTTCCTTCTGAATTTGGCCCCGAATCCTCCGAAGTTAACGATCTTCCACCTCCACTCCCTCCCTCCAACGCACTTGAAACTCTTTTCCTCAACTCTTAGTTAAGCAAATGGAAGCTTTTTAGGGCCTTGACTAGAGTCTTTAAAATTCAAAGCCAGATCCCACGTGTTTCTGCTTTTAAGAATTCTAGATAGAGCCAGGCGCTGGTGGTTCACACCTGCCTTGAGCAAAAATGCTAAGAAAGAATGTGCTGGCCCTGAGTTCAAGCCCCAGTACTAGACACACACACACACACACACACACACACACACACACACACACACATACATTCTACTCATCTTCCCCCCCCCCCCCCCCTTCTGCCCTTCCATTTTAAAACCATCCTTAGAATAAAAGAGGGCTGTGTCTGTTCCGCTGTATCCCAGCCTGTCTGTTCATGTGGCTATTCCGTATGTGTTTGAGTCTCTGCTCACCTGTCCCTTTATAGGCTGTCTGTTTGACCGAAGACTCTGCTCTCGCCTTGAAGTCTGTATTCAGGGTAAGTGAGGCCCAGGCATAGGGTTCACAAGACGTGGGCAAGGGGAGCAATAATAAAAAACAAGTTGAGAGGGGACTAGGCTAGGGCAGAGAAAAGAGCAGAGCCTTAAAGCCAGCAGAGGAGATGGAAAGAACACTGTTCATTTACAATCTGACTCTGAAAGACCTCTTGTCCAAGCCCCTGATAACATCACTTTTGTGGTCTGACTTAGATGGCTTGTTTGGACAGTGTCAGACGGGCGTGGGGCAGGCCCGACCTCTGTTGCAAGTCACTTCTCCAGTTCTCCAACGCTTACAAGGTGTGCTTCGACAACTCATGTCCCAAGGTGAGGTCTGTGTGCCTTGGAGTAGAGAGATCAGAACTTGGTTAGATATGGGCGGGAAAGGGAAGGACCACCTGACTCAAAGAGTTCTCATTTCTCACCCACCTCTGTAGTCTCTACCCAGATCTTGCTGAGAGGATAGGTTCCCACAAAGGACACTGGGTTTAGGTGTGCAGAAGTCACTGGCAACCTTTAAGACAGCAGCTGTAATAGAATAAAGTCCAGAGTACAGTGGATTACGAGGGAATTTGCGGAAAGGAATTGGTCACAGCCAAGATATATCAGTCTTTCAAGGAGTCTTGCTGCAAAGAAATAGGTCAAATGTGGGAAATAGGCTGAAGGGGATGTGGAATCAAACAGTGCTGTTGTTAAGATGGAAGAAAACAAGTCACATTTGTGTGCTAATGGGAATAATTCATCAGGAAACAGAACTGTGTGGGAAATGGGGCAGAACTGCAGGGAAGGTTTCCTGAGTAGGTGAGGGGGGATGCTTAAATGGAACGATTGACATTAAAAAGGAACACTGATTGTTCTCCTGTTCACAGGCAAGAAGGCAGGTTTAGATGTCGATAGATCCCAGAACATGAGTCAGGAGCAGAACAGAAAGAATAGGGGTGGAGAGTAGAAGGTTATTTCTTTACAATAGGTGACCTTTCCTGAGAGCTGGGTTTCATAGGGTAAAGGGTCTAACAGAAAATCTTCCCAGGAGCTGGGTACCTGTGGCTCATGCCTCTAATCCTAACTGCTCACGAGGCTGAGACATGAGGATCGAGGTTCAAAACCAACCTGGGCAGGAAAGGCTACAAACCTCTTCCAATTAGCTACCAAAAAGCTCAAAGTGGAGTTGTGGCTCAAGAGGTAGAGCAAAAAGAGCTCAGGGACAGCACTGAGTCCCTGAGTTCAAGTCTCAGGACCAGCAAAAATAAAAATAAAATAAATCTTCTCAGGATGGGATAGTGAAAAGGATGGCGGTAGTGGTGGTGGCGGCGGCGGCGGCGGCGGCGGCGGCGGTGGTGGTGGTGGTGGTGATCACGATCATGATAATGACAACCACAAGGATGATGTAACTGAACATTGCACAGTGCTTCAGAATTTTCTAAGGATTTACATTTTCCTCATCATATTTGGCCTTTGTAATAATCCTATGACATATGCATTATTCTCACTTCACAAATATAACTGAGGATCAGAGCCAGGCAGTGATGGCTCACACCTGTAATCCCAGCTACTCAGGAGGCTGAGATCTAAGGACAGATGTTTGACACCAGCCCAGTCAGAAAATTCCATGAGACGCTTACCTCTAAAAAGCCAGAAATGGCGCTGTGGCTCAAGTGGTAGAGTGCTAACCTTGAGCAAAGAAGCTCAGGGACAGTACCTACGCCTTGAGTTCAAACCCCAGAACTGGCAAAAAAAAAAAACAACAACAACAAAACCTCTGATCCTCAGCTCTCAGCCTCCTGAGGATCTAGGATTATAGGCTATGTCTATAATCCTAACCAGGCCCAGCTGAGGCCCCTAGACTCTTGAGCCAACCTCATCTTCTCCTTCCCCTGACAGGATTGTCCTGGCATGATGACCTCACCCAGTATATAATCTCCCAGGAGATGGAGCGCATCCCCAGGCTTCGTCCTCCAGAGTCCCGTCCAAAGGACAGGTAAGCAACCTTTCTCCACAATCCATGGGGCTGAGGCTGGTGGTGTGGTCTTCCTGATGGACCATAAGGAGCAAGAAGAAAGAAACCAAGGTCAACAGGCTGGAGTTCAGGTACATCCTCAGGAACAGTCTCTCTCTTACATGCTATTATATGAGTAGGAGCTGAGCTCCCTCTGTGGATACAGAAAAACAGGACTTTAAAAATATCCTTTAAAGGCCAGGTGCTGGTGGCTTATGCCTATAATCCTAGCTATTCAGGAGGCTGAAACCTGAAGCCAACCTGGGCAGGAAAGTCTGTGAGACTCTTATCTCCAATTAATCACCAGAAAACTGGAAGTGGCACCGTGGCTCAAGTGGTAGAGTGCTCGCCTTGAGTTGAAGAGCTCAGGGTCAGCACTCCAGCCCAGAGTTCAAGCTCCACGACCACCACCCCCCAAAAAAAAATCCTTTAAGAGTTGGGTGCTGGTAGCTCATATCTGTAATCCTAGCCACTCAGGAGGCTGAGATCTGAGGATCATGGTTCAAAGCCAGCCTGGGCAGGAAAGTCCATGAAGGATTCTTATCTACAATGAATCACCAAAAAGCCAGATGTAGAGCTGTGGTTCAAGTCATAGAGCACTAGCCTTGAGCAAACAAGCTCATATATCTTCTTTGAAAAATGTTGCCACTTGCAGAAGCATGACAGCAGTCATCATGGGTGAACTAGAATTTCCTCAGGTGAAGTAGTGTCATGTTGAGTTTCTCTACTAGGTAGGGCTGTTCTGGCAGGGGAACCATCATTTTCCTGTGGCTAGGGCCTCCAGAGGCTCTATTAGATCCTGCAAAATGTAGGAAAAGACATGAGTCTGTCTGTGGAACTCAGGTGGTGACATCAGATGAAGAACTCACATTTAAAAGGGAAGGTGGGGGGCTTAAATGCTTGGACATACACTTGGACATACACTTGGAGAGCCAGGCGTGGGGACACAGGACGCAGACACAGCTGGGACACACACTGCAGCCACAGTCCATCTGGTGGCTCTGGCTGCCTTCCCTGCTCTTGTTCTCACATTCTTCCGCCCCACACTTCCCTAGCCTCTGCAGCTGTGTGTCACATATGCAAGCATGCTTACCCAGGAGGCAGACACCTCAACCCAGGCCTGGCTCATCCCCGTGCCTTTGTGGCCTACTTTTTCTCATTTCTTCCTTTTCTTGTTTTGCTTTTTTGCTGTGCCTAGGGTTTTAAACTCAGGGCCATAGTCACACCCCTGTTTGCTATTCATTTATCTTTTAGATAGGGTCTTATTTTTGCCCAGAGCCAGCTTTAGACCATGATTTCTTACTTCTACTTCCTCTGTAGCTATGATTACAGGCAAGAACCACCAACTCCAGCATGGTTGTTGAAATACGGTCTTTTTGTCCACACAGGCCTTGTCCTTCCAAGCTTTACCTCCCACGTATCCAGGATTACAAGGGTGCACCACCAGGGCTGGCTCCACCTCATTTATTAAGAGATCAGACTTTCTCTAAAATGCTAAACCTGTCTGACTCCTACCATCTCTGTTTTAGAAGTCCCCCCAACCCCTACACACACACACACATACACTTTGCTTTTCCTCCCCAGATCTGGCATGGTGCCCAGGAGACCTGATCCCGCTGGGGAGCTGCTTTTACAGGGTATCCCCACTGGCTCCGCCCCTGCTGCCCAGGGGCTTCCTCGACCTCCAGCAGGTGGGGGTGGAGCTGGGGCCGGCTCCCCCCTGTCCCCTCTGCAGACTGAGTTGCTGCCCCCTCTCCTGGAGCATCTGCTGCTGCCCCCGCAGCCTCCCCACCCTGCTCTGAGTTATGAACCTGGTCTGCTGCAGCCCTACCTGTTCCAGCAGGTGAGCCCTTGACTCTGGAACTACCCCAACCCCAGTCTTCCCAGTCCTGCCTTCTGCTCTTACCCAGATCTCTGCTTTCCCACAGTTTGGCTCTCGGGATGGCTCCCGGGGCTCGGAGAGCTCCACAGGGATGGTCAGTGTTGGCCCCCTACCCAAGACTGAAACTCCTGCCCTCTTCAGCAGAACTACCTCCAAGACCATGTTTGGGGCCCACCCTGGCCACTCCTACAGGGACCTTCCAGGGCCCTCACCTGCTCAGCTCTTCCAGGACTCGGGGCTGCTCTACCTGACCCAGGAGTTGCCAGCAGCCAACAGGGCCAGGGCACCAAGGTTACCAGAACCAGGGGGCAGCAGCCCAGCAGAGGACTCCTCAGAGGGCTATGAGGAGGAAGGACCAGGAGCTCAGGAAGAGAAGCCCTCCTCCCCAGCAGTGCAGCCAGGTAACAGTCTTCAGTCCCTACCTGCCTGCCTGTGGAGGCAGCTTTGGGAGAACCACAGGGATTCTTTCCTGATTATTCACACATTTGTTACTTGTCCCTGAAATCATTCACACAGTTAATGTCTACTGACAAGCCAGTCTACGCCCGCACTAGCCTAGCCAGAATACAGTGGGCTCAGGAGCTGACATGACTCCTACAGATGACTAATCCAGATGTCCATGCTGGGCCTGGAGTTTGGTGTTAGCTCACAGAGTTCTTTCCCTCAAAGTGCTCACAAGGGCAGGCCAGGGGCGTACCAGTATCCTAGTAGTTGAGAGTTCTTAGTCATCTTCTCCCAGTCTCCCATCCTACCCCGCCAAGTTCATCCCACCTCAGCCCTAAGGCCTGTACCTGGCTCTCAGCAGATGGGACCCTGCAGAGACTGGCTACTGTGCTGGCAGGCTATGGGGTGGAGCTCCGGCAGCTGACCCCTGAGCAGCTCTCCACCCTCTTGACTCTGCTTCAGCTGCTGCCCAAGGGTGCAGGAAGAAATCTGGGTAAGTATCCAGGTGGCAAAGTATCTAGCAGCTCTAAACTCTACTAGAGGCCTCTTGCTCCACTTCTCAAAAACCATATGAAGAGCTGGGAATGTGGCTTAGTGGTAGAGTGCTTGCCTAGCATCCATGAAGCCCTGGGGTCGATTCCTCAGTATCACATAAACAGAAAAGTGGCCAGCTGGCTTTGAACTCTGGCTCTGTGGCTCAAGTGGTAGTGTTAGCGTTGAGCATAAAAAGCTCAGGGACAGTGCCTAGTCCCTGAGTTCAAGCCCCAGGACTGGCAAAAAAAAAAAAAAAATACCACACTGTGTGCCAGTGGCTCACGCCTATAATACCCACTCATGGGGGCTGGGAAGATGGCTCAGTGGTAGAGCGCTTGCCTTGCATGCCTGAGGCCCTGGGTTTGATTCCTCAGCACCACATAAGAAAAAAGAAAAAAGCCAGAAGTGGCGCTGTGGCTCAAGTGGTAGAGCACTAGCCTTGAGCTGAAGAGCTGAGGGATAGCGCCCAGGCCCAGAGTTCAGGCCCTATGACCAGACCCAAAAAAAAAAAAAAAAAATACTAGTTACTCAGGAGGCTGAGATCTAGGGATCACAGTTCAAAGTCAGCCCGGGCAGGAAAGTCCGTGAGACTCTTATCTCTAATTAACCACCAGAAAACTGGAACTGGCACTGTGGCTCAAGTGGTAGAGTGCTCACCTTGAGCTGAAGAGTTCAGGGACAATGTCCAGGCCCAGAGGTTCAAGCCCCATGACCTACAAAAAAAGAAAGAAAAAAAAAGCTGGTGTTGGTGACTCATGCCTGTAATTCTAGCTACTCAGGAGGCTGATATCTGAGGGTCACAGTTCAAAGCCAGCCCAGGCAGGAAAGTCTTTTATCTCCAATAAACTACCAGAAAACTGGAAGTGGTGCTGTGGCTCAAAGTGGTAGAGCTAGTAGTTCTCAAGGATGGTGCCCACAAAAACAAATATCAAATAAACAACAACAACAACACACACACACACACGCATGAAATGTGGTTCCTGGAGAGAAAGAGTCATGGTCAAGATCAAGAGAAGAAAGTTCTTTTAAGATACAGGGTCATTGACAGCAGAGAACAAAGGCGTAAAATGAAGAGCTGAGGAGTCAGACTAGGAAAAGAACAGAGGATCAAAGTAATGGAAGAAGAGACCAATAAAGGGTGTATATGGAAAGAAGGAGGCATCAAGAGGGGGTAGTTTGGGCTGAGGATGAAATGAGGTGGTTGGATGCTTGTTTAGCATGGGCAAGTGGTCTGGGTTCTGTGGGGGACAGATTGGTGCTAATAAGGCTGGAGGAAATTAGCCCAGATCTGAGGGATGGACAGAGGAAGGACTGAACAAAGCATCTCTTTGGAAACTACAGCGAGTAACCAAGGGAGAGGTTTATAAAACAATAACTTATAAATCCAGATGTAAAGAAGAATGAGGCCATGCTTGGGATGGGATATTGCCAGTGTCTTTGGCCACCTGACTAAAGAGGCCACAGCACATGGAACAGGCTCATGGAGTCTGGTCCTTTCTCCTCTCTGTGTTGCATGGACTTCAACCTTGACCCTTTCCTTAGACTCATGACTTTTTTTTGTCTCCTCAGGTGGGGCTGTAAATATTGGAGCTGATGTCAAGAAAGTGAGTTTCTAACACTTTCCTAACCTGTAAAGGTCCCATGGCAGTGGACACCATCCATCTACCCCCTCCTTTTGGTGAAATTTAAGTCTCATGATTGGGAGGGTGGGAGCAGAGTCCAAATTCCATATCCTCTAGCATATCATTTTGGGAAAACGCTGGCCCAAAGACTTTTTGGGGGGGTCCAGTTGTGGGGTCTGAACTCTGGGCCTGGGCGCTGTCCCTCAGCTCTTCAGCTCAAGGCTAGCACTCTACCACTTGAGCCACAGCGCTACTTCCGGCTTTTTTCTTTTTTCTTATGTGGTGCTGAGGAATCGAACCCAGGGCCTCATGCATGCAAGGCAAGCACTCTACCACTGAGCCACCTTCCCAGCCCCGGCCCAAAGACTTTGAATCATTGCCTCTGGTCTTTTACATCAACTTGATAGCACAGCTGAGAGTAGAAGACAGAATTATTATTATTATTATTATTTCTGGTCCTGGAGCTTGAACTTGGGCCTGGGCACTGTCCGTGAGCTTCTTTTGCTCAAAGCTTGTGCTCTACCATTTGAGCCACAGCTCCACTTCCAGCTTTTTCTGTGATTCATTGGAGATAAGAGGCTCACAGACTTTTCTCTCCTCAACCCTCAGATCTCAGCCTCCTGAGTAGCTGAGTCACTGGCACCTGGCCAGAATTCTTTTTACTTTGTGCCAGTCCTGGGTTTGAACTCAGGGCCTAGGTACCATCCCTTAACATTTTTTTTTCTCAAGGCTAGAACTCTACCAATTGAATTACACTTCCATTTCTGGCTTTTTTTTTTTTATGGTTAATTGGAGATAAGAATCACAGACTTTCCTGCCTGGGCTGGCTTTAAACATCAGTACTCAGATCTCAGCCCCCTGAGTACCTAGGATTTCAGGTGTGAGCACCTAGCTTTACAAAACAATTCTTTTTTTTTTTGGTTGGTTGTGGGGCCTGGGTGCTGTCACTCAGCTCTTCAGCTCAAGGCTAGCCCTCTACCCCTTGAACCATAGCACCACTTCTGGCTTTTTCTGCTTAGGTGGTCCTAAGAAATTGAACCCAGGGCCTCATGCATGCAAGGCAAGCACTCTACCACTGAGCCACCTTCCCAGCAAGGCAGAATTCTTGATCTACTCCTTTTTCTGCTATGATCCTTTCAGACCATGCTCTGAGGATTCCTTTGGCACAGGGGAAGTTGAGAGCAGTCAGGCTCCTGTCCCCCCATAGCTAGAAGAGCTTTAGGTGTTGGACCTGTCAGATGCTGTGGATGAACACTAGTCTAAAAGTCATTGCTCTCCTGCCCAGCTTTCAGCCTCATCCAGTTTTCAGGTTCCAGAGTCCCCTTCCACCCCAACCCCATCTGTGGATTTATAGACCTCATTCATTCAATCCTGTATTCATTCATTTATCCACATTGGCTTGCATTTTCTGGCTAAACTCTCTCCCCAAAACTGCATGAGACCTTGGCAATACAAGGCTAACCAATTCCTAGTCTCCACAGTAGAGAACTGAAAGCCCCAGAGTGTGGGTCTTCCTCTTGCCACTCACAGAGGCCACACCCCCATCCTTTCTTCTAGCAGAAAACCGAGGACCAAATGCAGGGTGGAGACACAGCAGCGCCTCCACCCCCCATGCCCTCCCTGCCTGGACACCCCACTGCCAGCTCCACCTCTAATAAGGTCCAGCTGATCCCTGGCTCCTCTGAGCCTCCCAAAGCTAACAGTCCCCCAGGAGTCTCACTTGTCCTGTTGGAGAAGAAAAGCCCACTGGGCCAGAGCCAGCCCACAGTAGTGGGGCAGCCTTCAGCTCGGCCAGCAGCGGAAGAATATGGCTACATCGTCACGGACCAGAAGTAAGGACTCCCATCTGGGGAAATCTTCTGGCAGACTATCTTAGAGAATGGGCTGACTTGCCTGGCAGGAAGCAGAGAGCAGAAATCCAGATGTGCAAAGGTCTGGGAGGTGGTGGGCAGCCCTGCACCCCTGGAGGTGGCCTGTTTCAACAAAGTGATGCTGAGTCTCCTTCTCCTCCCTCTTGTGTGCTCCCTTCCTCCAGGCCCCTGAGCCTGGTTGCAGGAGTGAAGTTGCTGGAGCTCCTGGCCGAGCATGTGCACGTGTCCTCAGGCAGCTTCATCAACATCAGGTGGGGCTGGGATCCTGGTGGAGCAGGGCAGGGGTCTGGAGGGATGCCTGAGCACGGTGGTGCTGGAGGGATTGGGGAGGAAGGGAAGACAAGTTTTGCATAGTCAGAGATGCTACATGAAGGTAGAGGCACACCCAGCCCCATCCAATTTCTGCAAATCACCAGACACCACTGTGGAGTACCCTGATCTGTTCCAATAGAGCTAGCTTCTTTTAAAGCCTGAGACCAAGGCGGGGGCTGAGGTAGTAACCTAGCTCCTGTTTGGCAGTGTGGTGGGACCAGCTCTCACCTTCCGAATCCGGCATAATGAACAGAACCTGTCATTGGCAGATGTGACCCAGCAAGCTGGTAAATACTACCCCAACCTCAAGCCCAGGCTTGGTCCCAGCCCCAGACCTAATACCCAGTCTGTGGCTGATGCTCCCTTGAAATATTCCCAGTCCACATGGGCCTGCCTGCCACCTGGCATAGCACTACATAGAGTGGAGACCACAGGGGGCTGGAGAAAGCCTGACCTGCATCCTCTTTGCAGGACTAGTGAAGTCTGAACTGGAAGCACAGACAGGACTCCAGATCTTGCAGACTGGAGTGGGACAGGTAGGCACTAACTGGAGAATCCCTCAAAGCCAAAGAGTCTGACACTGCCCCCAAGAGGTGAAGGCAAACTTGATGGGAAGCGTCTGGCCTACTGCCTTAACCAACAAGCCCCTCCCCATACAATTCTCTATCTGACCACCAGGTGGCCCCAGTGGCCCCTCTGCAGGACCAGCCTTATATAGGAAGACCTATGCTTAAACCGTAGGCCTCTTCAAGCCATTACATTTTGAGGGAAAACCTTGCCCAGGGAGGACATTATACTCAAAATATGTTTCTGTTCTGTATCCAGCCCTGCTGTCTCACATTCTAACCATCTATTCCTTGTGTCCCCTCTCCACTTCTCCACATGGATCATTTAATGGAAACCTTCCTGACAAGGTTCACTCACCATGTTTCTGGCACTTGAGTTGGTCTGGTGGGAATTGAGGACAATCTGAGCCTTTTACCATTAACTCCCATAATCCTGCCCTCACAGCTTTGCCCCAGGCGGTGTCCTAGTGGGATAAGGGCATGGGACAGGGGTAAGGAGTAGCGAGGTCTCCCCCAACTACTGTCTGCCCCCCCCAATCTAACTTTGTTCCCACAGAGGGAGGAGGCAGCTTCCGTCCTTCCCCGGCCAGCCCACAGCACCTCACCCATGCGCTCAGTGCTGCTGACTCTGGTGGCCCTGGCAGGTGTTGCTGGGCTACTGGTGGCCTTGGCAGTGGCGCTGTGTTTGCGCCAGCATGCTCGGCAGCGGGACAAGGAGCGATTGGCAGCTCTTGGACCGGAGGGGGCCCATGGTGATACTACTTTTGAGTACCAGGTATGCAGCAGGCTGGAAGACCTGGTGAGGGGAGGGAGTGAGGACCTGGGCGTGGGGACCTGGGTCTTGTACGGAGTGAGGGTGAGAGTGGAATGACCTGCCATCCTTGGCAGTGTCCAGGCCCAAGCAGGGGTATTATGGGCCATTGGTTGGATGGGCAGAAATCGGAAGCAAATAGTCTGAGATTCTTCCCAATTCTGTGATTTCCTGACATCCACTGTGTACTGTCTTGTCACAAGCACCATCCAAGCAGAAGACTATGAAAGGGAAGAGGTCAAACCTTCCTCCCAGAGGAGACACAGCTCATTTAAAGTCAACCAAAGACCAGTCTAAGGACTCAGACTTGAACTCAAGGCCCTGTTGAACAGCTTCAGGGCCCCCCTACCCCGAATCCCCACTTGAACCTTCCTTGATCCTACAGGACCTGTGTCGTCAGCACATGGCCACAAAGTCCCTGTTCAACCGATCAGAGGGTCCTCCTGAGCCTTCTCGAGTGAGCAGCGTGTCCTCACAGTTCAGTGACGCAGCCCAGGCCAGCCCCAGCTCCCACAGCAGCACGCCATCCTGGTGCGAGGAACCTGCCCAGGCCAACATGGACATTTCTACAGGACACATGATTCTGGTCAGGAAAGGGGCCAAGTCCAGCACGGGGAGGGAGCAGGATGGTGGGAACGGCAGGACTGGCGGTGTGGGCCAAAGCCAGGCTGTGGTGCCCCCGCAGGCATACATGGAGGACCACCTGCGGAACCGAGACCGCCTGGCCAAGGAGTGGCAGGCCCTGTGTGCCTACCAAGCAGAGCCAAACACCTGTGCCACTGCCCAAAGCGAAGGCAACATCAAGAAGAACCGCCATCCTGACTTCCTGCCCTGTAAGTGAGCTGGCCAGCCCTGCCCCACCATGTCTGCTGGGAGCGCTGAAAGGGCTTCTGGGAAGGGGCGGTGCTCCCCCCAATATGCATGGCAGAGGTGGTGTTAAGACTCCAGTGACCAGAATCCTGTTTGGGTTGGGATGTACAGATGACCATGCTCGCATCAAGTTGAAGGTGGAAAGCAGCCCTTCTCGGAGCGATTACATCAATGCCAGCCCCATTGTAAGTGGTCCTGACTCAAGCCCCCAACTTGCCCTGGCCCCATCTTGCCTCTCTTTGCTCCATCCCCTGTGGTTACCTCCTACTTTTGGATTTGTGGACCTGTATCCTACCAATGAAACAGGAGCTTCAATGGAAGCTTCGGTGGACCAACCATTTGGTCCAGGCCCTTGCACCAAACTTTTGCATAGTGGCATCTCCCATTCTGGCTCATGATACATCCTCCCTGCCTCCAGATCGAGCATGACCCTAGGATGCCGGCCTACATAGCCACACAGGGACCGTTGTCCCATACCATCGCAGACTTCTGGCAGGTAGGCTCGTGGAGTGGGGACGTTAGTGGCCTCTCCAGGGACCTGGGGCCCTTGTGGCCATCCAGATCCCAGGGAGGCTAGAGTGAAGCTAACTTGGACCTGTCCCTAGATGGTATGGGAGAGTGGCTGTACCGTCATCGTTATGCTGACCCCATTGGTGGAAGATGGCGTCAAGCAGTGTGACCGTTACTGGCCAGATGAGGGCTCCTCCCTCTACCATGTATATGAGGTTAGCAGGACCCCCATAGCAAGGGGACAAGGGGAGTGGAGAACATGGGTGGTGGCCTCCTCACATTTGAATGTATGCCTGTGCAAAAGTTAAATGTACATACAATGCATACCTTCCCAAACATACACATACATATTTGTGCCTGCATATCCTAAGGTCAAAGGCATTTGTAGGGACATCTGATAAAGGTCTGGACATAAAACCACTCATCGGAACACTAAATATGTGAGATGGGGGGAAGTAAGTATATTGGAACTTAAGACCTCCTTTCATTGAACCTAATATAGCTCTGAATTTCCTGGTGACAAAAGCAAAGAGAGAAATGTCACCAGTTGCATATATTGTTTATGTAAAATAGAAACGAACTTTTTTCTCTCTGAGAGCGAAGAGAGGTGGGAGGGAATTGGGCAGACAGGCAAATCAAGGAATGGAAAAAAGAAATCTCAAACAAATGAGGGAAGGTAATAAATTTCTCATCACAGGTCAGCTGGAGAAATCAGTTTTTCTGTCACCAACTGAGCACTCAACTTTTTTTTAAAGCCTTTCATTGGTCCTGCTAGTAGGTAATTTTTAAAAAACCACTGAGAATATAGAATTTCATCAAAATTTATGGATCATGTAGCAGACACTTTGGTACATACATCTGGGAGGAAGAGGAAGAAGAAACTCTGAGCTCCAGATGCCCAGAGTAATCGTCCTATCTGGGTGGAAACACTACCTGTTATCTAAGCAGTATTTAAACAGCCAGGGTTCTTGGGGACAGCTGGGAAGAGTTGAGTGGGCACATTTCCTGGAGGATTTAGGATGTAAACTGCCTGGGAAGTGGGAGGATTCTGAGAGCTTAGGAAGTCTTGAGCGTGGGTGGAGGCTGGAGCGCCCCATCTGGGGCTCAGACCTGGGTGGTGTCCGCAGGTGAACCTAGTGTCGGAGCACATTTGGTGCGAGGACTTCCTGGTGCGGAGCTTCTACCTGAAGAACGTGCAGACCCAAGAGACGCGCACCCTTACGCAGTTCCACTTCCTCAGTTGGCCGGCAGAGGGCACTCCCGCCTCCACCCGGCCGCTGCTGGACTTCCGCAGGTGAGTGGGCCCCCGTGCGCCATGCCAGGCTGGCTCAGAGGAGCCTTGGCACAGAGCTGCCCAGAACCTTGACCTCTGGCCGCTTCCTCCATCACCTTCCCCAAAACCAAGACTGATGCTCTGTCTGGCTAGGTCTTGCCCCAGTCCTGTGTCTGGTCTCATACTGCTGTTCTGCCTCTCTTTTTCTCCCTACATTCCTGTATCTGAATGCTTCTTTACCTGCTTTCCTGCAAAAAGAAGCAACTCATTTTTAGCTCATTTTAGTTCCTCCTGCACTGTGGCCCCCGACTCTATCCCCTGTCTTGCTTTTCCCTGGGTCTCATTCCATATCTATCCCTGTCTCTGTCCCCTGTCCCTCCTCCCTCTCTTTTCTTTTTTTTTCTCTCATCTCCCCATCCTTCTATCTCTATCAATGTCTTTTTCTACCTCCATTTCTCACTCTCCACACCCTTCCTTCCCTCCTCAATCTCTTCCCTACTTCAAATGTTTTCCCATCTCCCTCCGTCTCCCCCTTTTTCAGTCTGTCTGTCTTCTCCTCTGCCCTTCCCTCTCCTTTCCTTCTCTCCTTCCCTCACAGCTGCCAGTGTCATTTTTGTGATCTGCAGCTAGTAAATCTCACTCCAGTTGCATAGTCACAAAAGTGGTCATTGGCAGGTGTGGCAGCTGCATGGACAGAACAGACAGGGCATGCGGGCCCCGGGCACCACCCCAAAGGTCCACATAGGAGAGTTGGGAGAAGGGATCCAGGAGGAGCCTGAAAGTGTTAGTGGCAGATTCCATGCAGTGGAGGGAGGGGTGTCTGGAACAGAGGCTAACAGAGATTTAGCCTGTTGGTGATATTGAAACTAAGACCAAGCCAGGCCTCCAGTATCCCTGTCTTTCCCCATGCAGACAGGTGGCTTAAAAGCCCCTATCTATGGCAGTAGCTCCACACTGCACCATTCTTTGGTCCCTGTTGCTTACCAGACTGTCTTGGGTTTCATGCTGGGCAGAGGAACAGAGCTGGGGGTGAGGAACTGGGTTCAGTTATTGAACCTCTGACTGGGATCTCTGCAGCCTGCAACCCATCTTGAAAGAAATGCCAGGGAATTGGAGCTATTTCCTTTGTCACACACTTAAAAAAAATCTCATGCTGGGTGTGCAGCTTGGTAGAGCAATTGCCTAGCATGGGCAAGGCCCTGGGAGCTATACAGGGAAAAAATAAAAGGAGCCAGGTGTCAGTGGCTCACATCTATAATCCTAGCTATTTGGAAAGCTGAGATCTGAGTGTCTCAGCCGAGGAGACTCTTTTCTTCAATTAGTTAGCAAAAAGACAGAACTAGAGGTGTGGATCTAGTAATAGGCAGCCATACCCAAAAAGCAGAATACAAGGTCTTTAGTACTCACACATACACCAAAAAAAGAAAGAAAAAAGAAAAGATCATAATGGAACTACTGCTGGATCTGTTTTAAGGCCACATAGGTAAGCTAAAAGGTTTCTGTGATTTAGACTAGAATTATGCAGAAGCAGCTGGGATGCCATGCCCAGAACAAATTGTGAGGTGCTCCAGATGAAAGGCAAATGGAAAAAGGTCTTAGCCAGTGGTGAAGGAGAAGGAGAGGAGACAATTTCATGTGCTTTAAGGGACCGGCAGAGATTCAATAGGAAAAGTGCATGCATAAAGTCTAGTTTAAGTACCTAGCACACAGTAAGGGCTCAGCTGATTCCAGATACTGTTGATTATCATTATCAAATGACTAGAAACAACTTGTGACACCATATGGACTCCCATCAAACCATTTAAATTCACCTGGCCACCTAGCTGGAAGATTGCCAAATCCCCAGCTGCTTCTGGAACGATCTGAGAAGATCCTGGCCCAGAAGGGGTACCGGGAGTCTGGAAGTAACTCTCAGAGCTGACGGGTCACAAGGGACAGTGGAAGTCAGACAAGGCCGCTGAGGGTGAGAGAAACAGCTTTCCTTACTGAGCAGTGGTCAGCATCAGCAAGTCAATATAATCCAGCCACAGGATGCCTAGGCTGAGGTCACACTGATCCAGAGATGCAGGCAGCAGCACAACATTCAGAGTTGAGGGTTTGCCAGTGCAACTCCACACAGGGTGACCTGACATCAGGCTGGTACACACCACTAGGAGACTAGGAGGAGAATGACTTGCATGGTTCTAGAGGTTGGTGGATGGCCTCAAGTCACCAAAAAGCCTATTTCCCTAGGATTCTAGCAGAAGTAACTGTTAATATATATTATTAGGTGCTGCCATCTACTGAATACTTACTGCATGCCAGGTGTTACACTTCGTTCTTTTATGTTGTGCATGTGTGTGCATGCTGGTACTAGGGCTTGAACTCAGGGTCTGGGAGCTGTCCCTCAGCTAAGAGTCTCATGGACTTTCCTAGCCAAGCTAGCTTGGAACTGGGGTCCTCAGATCTCAACTTCCTGAAGAGCTAGGTTTACAGAAGTGAGCCACTAGCACTCAGCTACACTTTGTTCTTTTCATGGATATCACCTGAGAACACAAGAAAATGATTACTATTATTACCACCCCTATTTTACAAGAAAGCTGAGATACTCGTTCCAGGTGTGTAGCTTGAGCACATAGTTCATAAGTGAGCAAGAAAGCTCATGCCAACTCAGTGATTGTAAATGATTATACATCCTCTGTCTTGAATCCTGACTCATTTCTCCCACGTTCTTCTCCCACTGCCCTGACCATGCGGGCCCCAAAGGAAGAAAGTACTGGGTGTCACTGGCTCATGCCTGTAATCCTAGCTACTCGGGAGAGGATCATGGCTCAAAGCCAGCCTGGGCAGGAAAGTCTGTGAGACTCACCTCCAATAAACCACCAAAAAACCTGGAAGAGCTGTGGCCCAAGTGGTAGAGCATTAGCCTTGAGCAAAAAGTGCTCGGGGACAGTGCCCAGGCCCAGAAATCATCCTGGGGAAAGAGAGGAAGGAAGGAAGGAAGGAAGGAGGAAGGAAGGAGGGGAGAAAGAAAGAAGAAAGAAAGAAAGAAAAAGAAAGAAGAAAGGGAGGGAAAAAAGAAAGGGAAAAGAAGGAAGGAAGGGAGAGAGGGAGGGAGTGGGAGGGAGAGAGGGAAGGAGGGGAGAGAGAAAGGGAGGGAGAGAAGGAAGGGAGGGAGGGAGGGCGGGAAAGGAAAGGAGAGGGAGGGAGGGGGAAGAAAGTGAGAGTGAGGCTGACTGTGTGTGGGTGGGTGGGTGGGTGTGTGGGTGTGGGTGTACAGTGCTGGTGGCCACTGGCCCTCATACCATTTCTTGTTTCAGGAAGGTGAACAAGTGCTACCGTGGACGCTCCTGTCCCATCATTGTCCACTGCAGGTGAGACTGAAGGGGACAGAACGCCCCAGGCCAGGTGCTCTTGGCTGGGTCCTTCCTGATTCCCATCTTTTCTGGTTCTGCTTCCTGTGCACAAAGCTCATCTGTTCAGCAAATGACAGCCCACAAGCCAAATCCAGCACATCCTGCTTTTTAGTGGTTCATGAGCTAAGAGTGGTTGCGAGACAGATTGTATGTGGCCCAGTCAGAAATATTTGCTTTCTGGTGCTTTCCACAAAGAGTCAGCCAAGGCAAGGGCTGGCCCACGCTGCAAAGTGCCATCATTCCCACGCACTCCGGCTGCCCCCTGCAGCTCTCATTTCCACTCATCTCAGTGTCCAGGAATATAGGCTGCTCACAGGCTTGCCGCTCAAGGCCTCAGTCCCAGGGGCCAGGCCTTCCTGCCATCCTTTCTTGGCTCACTCATACCCTGCCCAGGACACAACCCTAACAGGTCAGCCAGTGTTGTCCCCACCCTCTGTCTCTTCTTTGCCACCCCCTCCTCCTGGATGCTTCACTAAGCTTGTCCCCAACTCCTGTCGCAGTGATGGTGCGGGGAGGACTGGTACCTACATCCTCGTCGATATGGTCCTGAACCGCATGGCTAAAGGTAAGGACCACATCCTGGGGTGCCTGCAGCCCAGGCCCTCATGGAGGAGCTCATGGAGGAGCAGGTTGTCACACATCCAGGCTTCGCCCCATGCTCCAAGCTGCCCGCCCCAGGAGACCCTAGGCTTTCTGGGTCCTGTCCCCTCTGGACACCCCTGAACAATCCATGCCCTACTCCATCTCCAGGAGTGAAGGAAATCGACATTGCTGCCACACTGGAGCATGTCCGTGACCAGCGGCCTGGCCTCGTCCGCTCTAAGGTGACCATGTCTCCCTATGCCCTATGCCTACTACTTATGCCAAGCAACCCTACTGAACCACCCCCAGGGAAACCAGAGGGCCCCCCTCCTCCTAGCTGCCCAGCACTTCCACCCCCCGTAAAGCACCCCTGGAGCAGGAGCAGAGGCAGGACTTCCCCCAACCATTCCCCCCACTGCCTTCTGCAGGACCAGTTTGAATTTGCTCTGACAGCCGTGGCAGAGGAAGTGAATGCCATCCTCAAGGCCTTGCCCCAGTGAGAGCCCAGGACCCTTAGCAGGCCACCTAGACTCCATTCCCTGCCTGTGTGAGCACCTGTCTGTGTACCCTCTCCTCAGCCCCTATCCACTTTCCCACCATGTTGGCCCCTCTTGGGCACTCCCTGCCCTTCCCAGGGCAGCATGGGAGGGAAAGCAGGAAGGGGCGGGCCTATCCAGCCTCCCACCTGCCTGAGCCCTGGAGGGCTGGCAGTTGCCAGAAGGAGCGAAGAGGACATGAGCAGAAAGTCTGCTCAGAGCCTTGTCCTGCCTTTGTACCTGGCTTCTCCTCGCTACTCTATCGTGGTTCTGAGGACCTCCTGGCCTGCAGTACCGATCCAGGAGGAGGATGTGTATCTGCTTTCCCAGCCCTGCTGTCGCTGACCTGCAGCCTTGATCCCCATGCTAGCACCCTGCCCTGTTTGTCCCTGGGTGGCTCCCCCACTGCTCTCCTGCAATGGGCTGCTCAACCCCTCTCCCTCTAGCACAAGAGAACTTTCTAGAAAAAATCTACTTTTGTATCAATGTGAATAAAGTTAGTGTGTTGTCTGTGCAGCTGCAAACTAGCCCCTTGTGCATTTCTTGTCTGCTGTGCTTCCAGACTCAAGCATAGATTGGGTTTGAGCTGGGCTGGCCCGTAGGAGCCCAGGTTTGACTATCAGTGCCTCACAATGTGGCAGTTCTTTTCTAATTTCTCCCCATTGTGCTTGTTTGTGCCCAAAAAGCTTCAAGGTGTCTTGGATATATTAGTTGAATCTTACATATATTAATCTTCACCAAAGCATGAACAATGATGACTTTATGATAAAGAGATGACGGGCTGGGAAGGTGGCTCAGTGGTAGAGTGCTTGCCTTGCATGCATGAGGCCCTGAATTCGATTCCTCAGCACCACATAAGTAGAAAAACTTGGAAATGGCGCTGTGGCTCAAGTGGTAAAGTGCCAGCCTTGAGCTAAAGAGCTGAGGGACAGCGCCCAGGCCCAGAGTTCAGGCCGCACGACCACCACCAACAACAAAAAAAGAAAGATGACAGCACAACACGGGTCCAGGAAACACAACTTTGTAAGTGGATGAGTGAGGATTGGAGCCCAGATAGCGTGGCCTGTTCTTAGGCAGCTGCTTCCTGCCCTTCGGCTACAAGAATAGCCTTTTGTGTGCTGCGGGATAGAGGTCAGGCCCTGTGGAGGCGATTCCGCCACAAATGGGGTGGCATTGCAGCCAACCCTGTCTCCAGCGGGCCTGCCTGTAAAATGCCAGAGCAGGCTTCCACCCGTGGGGAAGGGAAGCGTTCTCCCTCTGTCCCCTAGCTAGCTCCTAGAGTCTGCCACCTTTGAGATGTCAGAAGCCCTCACCTGTGTGTCATGAGGAGTCCTTGAACACTAGTGGTGGACACAGAATGAGGCAATAAGAGCCTTGGGCCCAGAAGCAGTTAGGAGTTATAGTCACTTACCATGTTGAGGCTCAAAAGAAAATCAGGACCAGTACATCTCTATGGGCAGCAAGAAGGGAGCAGCCAGTATAGCACAGGCCTCTAAAACTGTCTATGCTCTGCTGTGACTCCAATGTGCTCTGCATCTCAAACAACGAAGTACGGGAAAAACCATTTTGCAATTTCCTCTTAGGATGAAGGCTTTAAACTCCCTTCTTTCAGGGCAGGCTGCTGCTCTGCTTTGAGAAAAACACTAGATCCTCTACCTGGAATACAGAAGTAGGGGGTCCACTTACCTGTGTTGCAGCAGGTAGACTTGAGGTGTTTGCCTTGTGTTTGGGATGCCAGTGGGAGGAAGTGGCTCTTTTTTTCCCTTGAGCCTTGATGAGCTATTGCCCTTCCATGTGTCCTAGCTTACGCCTCTGAGTGTGAGGCAAGACCTGTGAGGGGCTGATGTCCCCATCTGAGGTTCAGTTTAAAGGTTCTCATGTGTTAACAGCTTCCTGTGGCTCCCATGCTTTTGATCAAGTCTAAACATGGTCCAGTCCTAGCTGTGCTGCAGAGCCCTGGAAGGTGGGTCCCTTCATGAGGAGAACATTGGCTGCAGAGTGGTGAGCTCCTAAGAGGTGAAGGTCAAGAACATGAGGAGGGCAACCTGGTCAAAGAGGAGACTCTGATGCCTACGGGCAAGGCGAGCACCTCCAGCTGCTTGGGCATGAAGGGAAGTGAGAGGCCTGAAAAGCCATCCACTTTCCCCACAGGGTCCTTCCCTCCCTTTTCCACCTTGGAAAAGAGGAAACACAAGAACACGGGGGACAGAGCTCTCAAAACTCGGCTTTATTGACTTCCAGTTTCCCTTAGTCTGAGCTCAGCCCAGCTGGATTTGATAGATCTCTGAGGTTCAATGTTACAGGGTCTGGCAACACCTGGCTCCACCAGTACCCTCCCTGGCCTCGGGCTCCCCAGGCAGGGAGGAGGAGAGGCGCTCATCTATGACGATGGAGAGAAAGAATGGGCAGCAGGGTCAGAGACCAAAGAAAGCCATTCCAGCAGTAGCATGCCTGGTGCTCCCATTGCATGCAGTCCCCAGCCACATACACCCCAGCCAGGGCAGCCTTCCCTTCCAAGCTCCGCCAGCCCACAGCCATCGGCCTTCAGGGGTCAAGCCCTGTCTAATCCATCCACTGCCTCCCTGGCAGGATCCTCAGATCCCAGGCTGTTGACAAAAGAACCTCTACCACATGCTGCAGGCCTCTCGTCTGCCCACTCTGACCTTGGGGCAAGCAAGAGGTGTCAGGGGAACTGAGGTTCCAATCGTTCCCCCTTCATCCACGTTCTCACCACCCCTAGCAGTACAATCAAAAGACAAGATCTCTCCCTCTAAAATGAGTGACAAGTCAGCTAGGGCTGGAACTACAAATCCCAAAAAGCACAGCTCCCTAATCACACATCACTTCCCATGGCACAATCTATCAGAGATGAGGCCAGATGCATTGCATTCTGGGAAATGTAGTCCCCAAGAGACAGCAACAAACACCTAGGGAAGGGAGTTCAAAAGCTGAGACTACTGATGCCTCCCAACTGGCCCCACCCACCACCCAGGCCCCAGCTGTATGCCCTGCATGGGTGAAGGAGAGGAATGGAGTGTTCCCTCCCAGCACATGGGGGAGGGCGCTGTCCTGTTGGAACTGTGCAGCAACTCTGGATCCGGGACATCCAGCTCAGAACACATCTGGGGAGAGAGCAGGGATGGGTGACAGGAGAGAGGGTCAGGGGCAAGCCATGAAAGATGGAGCCAAGCATGCACACCTGGACTGGTCCTGTGGTCTTCCCCTGAACCCTGATGGGTGGTGGGGAAAGTAGTATGGGATATAGTCCCCACTTAAGAGTTTCCCTGGGACACCCTGGCCCTACTACACCTGTTCAGGGTTAGCCAGCTTCACCTCTGCCTAGTCCCATGGCCAGAGTAGGCTGAGAGAAAAGAGGAATGGACTCCAGTCCCAGTTCTCATTGGCTGAGAGGCTCCTGCCTAGCCAACTAACCTGCCTGAAAGACCTCATGGGCCCACTGGCCCTGGCATCTTGTTAGGCACATTGAGGCTTCTTAGGGAAGGGAGTCCTAAGCTAGGTAGCAAGCAAAGAAAGCAAGCAAGCAATGCGGTCCACAGGGAGTTGCACAGAGCAGAGTAGGAGGAAAGAGGAGCACCAGAGAAGAAGCAAAGAGATGACCAGAGCACAACACTGTACAGACCCAGGGGTGTACAGGTCTACAGCTGGACAAGGAGAGCAGACTTGCAAGGAGTCGGCCAGCACTACTGCCCAGGGTAGCTGTCAACTTCGGCTCAGAGTACCCTAGGCCAAGTCCTCCTTCCTTGACCCCATCAGCAACACAGGTGGCAGAGGACTTTGGGCACAAAAGGCCCAATCCAAACCACTAGTGTCCCTCAGAAACATCCCGTCCAATAAATACATCCACACTCCTCAGGCCCTTCCACTGCCCTGGTGCCATCCACCCTGGGTTTTACCCATAAGCCCTGGGCTGAATGCAGCAAATCCCAGATCCACACACTAGAGGATAGTGGGTCTAGAAGGGAAACTTGGAAAGACAGAGTCAGGATCCTGCAACTCAGACCACTCTCCACTCTGCTTTCCTGACAGGAAGCTGGACCCAGGGCCAGAATTTGAATCAGGTTGGGCGGGGCCAGTGTTCAGAGAATAAGACAGCGAGAGGCCTTCTCTGGGGATGAGGTAGGTTTGACTGCTTCACCCCTTGCACCCTCATGGGTACCCCCTGTGCTGGGATCTTGGTGCTGGGCCCTGGGCCGCCCCTGGCATTGTTGCTGTGCCCCCCGCCCACCTGCTGGCTTCTGCCCAGATGCTTCCATCTCAGACAAGCTGTAGGCCATGGCAAGCTGCAAGTCTTCATCCTCAGAAAGGTCACCATCATAGGGACGTGCGACAGTGGTTTGCTGGACCTGCGGGCGTCCCGACCTGGAAGTGATCGATTGCTGCTCACGACGGCTCAGCTCCAAGCCCAGTGCCAGGTCATCCGGGACACCTGCAAAAGGCACAGCTACTATTGAGGCCCCAGATACAAGACAAGACAACCTGCCAGGCCCCCTCACAGGATCAAAATGACCCTGACCTCTTAAAAGTCTCTCTTTGTAACTGGCATGTATGCGTTAAGAATCAGGGAGTAAGGAGGTACTCAGCTCCAACAGGTAACATCTGGCTCTCCTTGACCAAGGTCCTCAAAGAAATGATGATAGCACCTACATGCACAAATCAGTCCAATGATTAAATAAGACCAGCATGAACTCAGCTCAGTGCTCTCAGCCTCAACAGGGAAGTGAGGTAAGAGTAGTCAAGGTGACAATCCTGGGCACTACAGTGTGGTAGGAATAATTCTGCTCCAAGATCCTGCATCCTAAGCTTGAATCCAGGCTTACCTTACAAATTACTTGGTAGAGAGGAGTGGGAGGTCACTTAACCATACTGCAGCTGCCTTCACAAATAAAAACTGGGCAAATACCATCTAGCCTGCTTATTCCCCAGGAAGAATAAAGATGCAATCTATGTGCATGTGCTTGAAAAACAGTCAAGTGCTTTGCACATGGAAGGTATTCCACAGATGATGACGTTGCTTAGCTGGGCCCTCTGAGAGCCCTCTGTTCACTCCCTCACTCCACAGATAGCAGAGTCTGGCTTGTGGTTGTAATTCCCTAGGGCCCAGCCCAAATGATTTAAAGAGAAGCTGTTTGGGGATGGGGCTTCCTGCCATGCCTGGGTGCTGGAACTCCTCCTCACCATTGATTGAAACTGACTTCAGCTGCCCATCCTCCTCCACCTCCACCCGCTCCTGCCCGTTCTCCATGATTCTGCAAGAAATAGCAAACAGTTATTAAA